AGCCCGTCAAAAGGAAGCCGTGCCAGTGTTGTCGCTTTGGAGTTACACCACTGTTTTATTTATGGAGCCATGAACAAAATAATTTCCCTCTGGGATTATTAAAGCATTTCTGATTCTGATTCTGATTCTGATGCCTAGTTCCTGAACTGAGAAAAGGTCATAACCATGCTATTCCACAAAGGCAAGCCAGAGCCTATTTACATTGTCCATTCACCAACAGACCAATTTATATTGCAAAGCTCACTATATGAAAGAAGAAACAACTTAGAGACTAATTGTATTTAGTCTTGTCTGGCCTTTTCATGTCATTCAACATTTCAGCTGAGAAACAGTATGTCCTGTCAAATTTCAGACCAATTTCCAAACTACCATTTCTGTCAAAGGTTTTAGAAAATGTAGTTTTTAACCAACTACAATCTTTCCTGTTCGCCCATGGCATTCATGAGAAGTTTCAATCTGGTTTCGAACCATTTCACAGCACTGAAACAGCATTATTGAGAATCCTAAATGACCTATTTTTAATTGTCGACTCTGGAAACCTTGCTGTCCTGGTTCTCCTCGACCTGACAGCTGCTTTTGACACTGCGGATCACAGGATTTTATTATCCCGTCTAGAACATAGTGTTGGAATCACAGGCTCTGCACTCCTATGGTTTAAATCCTACCTGACAGATTGCAGTTTTTCAGTTCATCTAAAGGAATTCACCTCAGACACAGCCCCTCCTACATCTGGAGTACCCCAAGGGTCCATTCTTGGCCCAATCCTCTTTCCAATATATATACTACCACTGGGCTCAATTTTTAGGAGGCATAATGTCTCTTTTCACTGTTAAGCAGATCTTGTACAGATCTTTTGCCTCTGAAGTCTAGCTGTGGTGATTCTGCGCAACCACTGCTGGAGTGCCTAAAAGATGTTAAAGGTTGGATGGAAAAGAACTTCCTCAACCTAAATGAAAATAAGACTGAAATTATTATGTTTGGATGTAACCCTTTAAATTTTCCTTTTGGTTCGTTCAGCTCCC